CATGCAGAAGGCTCGCTAGTGGGCGTTTTATGCGAAAGTGATTGATAGGATAACTGAATATACAGCTTCGTAAGAGATCCAGTGATAAAGAACCTTAGACTGAGCACTTGATGTTTACAATGTATTATACATTGTGCATAGCCAAATTACCTCCATTCAAAAATGTGTTGAGTAACTCAATGAACACGCGGGATTCGCATGATGATCGAAAGCTTTGGGGAAAGGAGGGAGGGAGCAGTCTTCTTATAGACGTGATCGCGTTCGCGAAACCCTTCCAAGAATCACTAGTAATTTCTAAAGTGGCCTACTTACATGCATCTAGATAAACGCAACGAGCTAACCATTTTTCCAACAAATTCGCAAGCCGAGCCAAGCTTCCAAAAAAGCTGCAACGCTGCAATTTTATGGCCGACAGCAGGATTAAGCTAAAACACTGCACAAAAAGTTTCAGGCTGGTTAGCTGACTGTGAGGCCCGTTCTGATGATCGAGGCCCGTTGAGGCCTGCATAAAGTTGTCGACCACGCATTCTACCTAGTTTAGACAATCCGCCCAATATGTGCTCAAGCGTAGTCTCAAAATGATAGCAAAATATGTTACGAAAACCAAAATCAGCAGTAAAGTATAAGCATCAGCTTGAATATGATTTTAAAAGTAAGATCATCTTTTACCTGAGTATGGGCAACAACTCGGATGGCAGAGCAGTACTTCTTCATCTTGTTGAGGTCAGACTCAATGACCTTCTTTCCGTCTTCATCTTGCCACTTCTTAGCGTATTTCGTGAAGGCCTTCTTCTTTGACTTGCACCTACAGATGGATTATTGAACTACGTGGTTTCGCAGCACCTCGTAGGTAGCCGCGTGTGCCACAGCAAGTTCAAATTCTTTCTTACTCTCAAGGAGCAGCGGAAAGATATCATCATTACTTGCCAAACAATCATACTCATGCACAAAGTGCAGAGGAGATGAATGAATGACACGGCGCGCTGTTTCAAACTGTAACCCGTGGATACAGAGAGAAAAAGAATAGATAAATCTGCCAAAGCTAACCAGTTCTTGTAGAAGCGACGGCGGCAGTCCTCGCTCAGGTGCTCGGCGAAAACGGACTTGAACGGACGTGGTCCGCGTGGGGTGTCGATGTAGCCAACGATTCCGACAATCACCATCGGCGGCGTTTCGATGATGGTCACGGCCTCTACCACCTCCTTTTTGTTTACCTTTGATCCTGGTTTATCGACCTGTAAAATAACAATTCCACTAGAGATTTAAATCCGTCTAACAACGCATTTTTGTATGATTGGTCGCTTACCTCACGGACGATGTGAGTCATTCCAGCTTTGTAACCGAGGAACGCCGTGAGATGGATTGGCTTTGATGGGTCATCTTTTGGGAAGGCCTTTATTCTTCCTCGATATGTCCTAGAGCGCTTTTTAGGCGCAAATCCCATGGATCCGTGCCTTGGCGCCGAGAATTTTCGGTGCGACATTGTACCCTGAAAATAAGATTGCATACTACTGAGCTTTCTAGAACACCATTTGAACGAATTTCATCATTCGTGGATAAGGTGTATGGTAGATGAAACGGCGAATGTAAGATACGCTCGGTTCGCTTTTAACGCTAGACTAGACTTGCGGACCCAGAAAGAAGATAAATTATGGCAAGCGATTTGAAAAAGAAAGAAGTAGAACTTCAAAACTGATCTCCTAGCCAACATGATGAGCAACCACAAAAATGAAACGAAAGATTCGATTCACACAGATTTTAGGCCACAAGCGCATTACGGTAGCGGGTCAAGCAGCGAATTGACACGCGTTCGCAGTTCGTCGCAAATTTCTGCTGGAGCGCGGCATCGCTCCGTCGTCCCGAATACTTACAATCAGTACTAGGATATGCCGCTGGTTAAACTACAGAGTCTTTTAATTTTCAAAACTTTGGCTTTTTCGTACCTATCAGGACTGCGCTTTGACGTTTCGGCTTAGGAAAATCACTTTTTTTGAAGAATTCAAGACGAAGATAACAACTGCAATTTCGCGCAAATGTTAGTAGGGGAACTCAGGAATAATTCCAGATGCTACTTCTTCTAGGCTCCCTTCTGGTCTTTCAAAACCTGAAAATGGGAGGCGAAGGACTTCGACCCACTATGCAACGAAACTGCTTCTGTGGGCGGGGGAGGGGGCTTTGAGACGTTTTTTCGGAGAAGGCTATAGTGAAAAAAACTTTACCATCGTTATTGATAAAAAGGGCCTCTGATTGTGAAAGCTTGATTTCGAACACAAACTTATTGTTAGGATAAAAGGAATTATCATAAAGTTGGAAGACAAATTATGAGCTTAATTTAGATTGGAGACGAATGATAAATCAAATGAGGTGGATTTTCAATGAACTACTCAATTGATAGCCCTAATACATAAGAAAAGCAAAGATTTCTTAGAATGCGCTAGGCAAGAGGTAATTCCAGTGAGCG